CTCAAGACATGGCTTTTTCAACAAGCGGGCCTGACCTAGGGTGAATTTTAAATAGGGATAATTTTTAATGATTTTAAATAGTCACAGCCACTAATATTTGGGTTTTAATTGGTTTTTAGAAGGGGTAATTCTGTATATTGTTTTAACATGCTGTGAGCCGCCCTGAGTCCCATGGGGAGAAGGGCGGCATATAAATTTTTGTAAAATTAAAAAAAATTAAAATTAAAATTAAATTAAATTTGTAAAATTAAATTAATGACGGTCACAGTGTCCCTGGGTGTGTGTGTCACGTGATCCCACTTTTTGACCCACTGACAAACAAAGTTAATGGGGAACGCCGGGTTCACTTAACAACCATCTTGCTAACGTCTTGCTGAGCGATTCACTTAACAATTGTGGCAGGAAACATCACAAAATGTGGAAAGTTTACATAAGAACTGCCTAGCTTAGCAAAATTAATTTTGGGCTCAGTTGTGGTTGTAAGTCAAGGACAACCTGTAGATGCAACTGTCATGGTTCCGACAGATGAAACTCTTCAAAGAACTTCGAGGCATTGTTTACCTTAAAGAATCTTTATTCGAGAAGCATAGCATCGGCACTAACACAATCGAAGCCAAAACCTAGATTCCCCTCCCCTGAGCACATAGTATCAAAGCACAATTCCCTCCAATTTACAGTCATAAATCACATTCTCCAATTAGTTTGAAATGCAGGCTCTCCCTCCAGTTCTCCAGCCCGCCATTTCTTATCATCTCTTATTTCAAAATCCATGGTTCTCGCACTATTTACAATATTGTTATGTCTAACTAAACTCCCATGCACATTCCTCCTCCTCCCCCCCAGTATCATCTAATTCTAACTCTAACTCTAAGAGTAAAACATAAGAAGGAAAATGGTTGCCTCTCCATATATTGTCAAAGCAAAAACATCCGATGTTAGCAGCATTGACATCAACCTGATATATTTTGGGGATTTCTCTCGACCATTTGGGAGGTAGTGAATCCTACTTCCCTCCCACGGTCCTAGGGAATATACCGTATTTCCCTGAAAATAAGACCCAATCAGAAAAAAAGCATGATTTTTCAGGACACTCGTAATATAAGCCCCACCCCACCCCAAATAAGCCCCAGTTAAGACCATCAGCCAGACAGATGCATTTAATACCGTATTTCTCCAAATATAAACCCTAACTGGAAAATAAGACCTAATGTATCTTTCGGAGCAAAAATTAATCTAAGACCCGGTCTTATTTTGGGGAAAACACAGTAAGGCAGAAAACCCCTGACACACCACAGAATGAGTAATGACGGTCTTTTGGAAGGAAACAGGAGCAGTAACAAACTCATGTCTAAAGCCTATTTTAGGTGAGATTCCACTAGAAGCACAAGGTGGAGAAAATCCCCTAAAACAGTAGGGAAAAGGTGGGTTGAAAAATCTCACCCCAGCTGTGAATCACAACTGTTTTTTTTTTCTTCTTCTCATTTTCTACAATGCGCTCTTCCCTTTAAGTGTGATTTTGGAAGATTACCCGCTAATACAATCTCTCTCTCTCTCCATCCCCTTTTTTTTCCTTTTCAGATTTTTACCACCAAGTTTTCTTATCTATTCTTCTCCTCTTTGCAATTGTAGTATTAGGGATGTGGGCTTACTTATTTCACAAAGTCTTCCTTATTTCTCTTGTCTGTAGTCATTACCATTTACGCTGTGACCTTGCCTTCTAAAGGCAACATTGAAAATAAAAGCAAAAAACAATAACAATAACAATAGTAGTAGTAGTAGTAATAGTAGTAGTTACAGGTGCGTTGAGTGCAATCCCAAAACTTCTGGAGCACCACTTGAATCCCAATTGACCCATCGGTCAATTGCAAAAGGTGGCTTTGCTTGGAACACCTTACATCCTGCGACAATGTATGTAACAGCATCAAACATTCAGGTCGGCCTATCCCAGCTCCTTGGATAGGATTTGATAAGTAGACAGATCCAGTCTGAACATCTGGCAGACTGTGTGACATAATTATAGTGGTAGCAAGAATGGTGCTTTGAAAAATTTGCAGGATATTCTAGTTCAGGCATGTCAAACTCGCGATGTCACATGACGTCGTGTGACGTATCGGAGCTTTTTCTCCATTGCCAGCAATGGGGTGGGCATGGTTTCCTGGTGAGCATCCGGCCCGTTGGACGGCAGTTTGACATCCCTGTTCTAGTTTAATGAAAAGAAGGACTAGGGGTGACATGATAGCAGTGTTCCAATATCTCAGGGGCTGCCCCAAAGAAGAGGGAGTCAAGCTATTCTCCAAAGCACCTGAAGGCAGGACAAGAAGCATCGGATGGAAACTCATCAAGGAGAGAAGCAACCTAAAACTAAGGAGAAACTTCCTGACAGTTAGAACAATTAACCAGTGGAACAACCTGCCTCCAGAAGCGGTGAATGCTCCA